CTTTCCCTTTATATCCACTAATAGAAACCCAAATGGATTCAATCTCTTTGCTATCATCTTCAATATCCTTAACTTCAACAGGATATAACTCACATTTTACATATAAAGCCACTCCTCTCCCCCTCTTCAGTACTCTATCTCTATTAAATAGCCTGTAACCCTGTATTTCAAAGAAATGTCTGTCATCAAATTCATTTACGTTTAACCATGTTCAGTTATTCCCATTATATCAAAATCCTCCATCCCTACCAGTGCTCTAAAGTCATCTATTTTATTTCTTATACTTCTAGCATTACAATAGTAACAATTAAGCCTGTCCTTATAACTACTTCTATACTCATTTCCTATGCTAAACGTTTCTCTGCCTCTTATTCTTTTTGCATTTAGTTTTTCCTGGCCTTCACCACTGTCTAGTCCTAGTTTAAAACTTCCCTTATAGCTTAGTTAATAGCCTTAGCAAACAAGCCAGTCCCTACTCTATTTAAATGTAAACCATCCATTCCAAAAAGCTCCCTTCTTCCACTGAACTGATCCCACAAATCCAACCAGCCAATTTGCTCATTCTTACATACTAACCTAAGCCTAGCATTTAGCCCTAATGACCTACTTAAAACTTCATCCCCCAGTTACTTCTGGGCAGTATCCTTGACAAAATTAAGTTATGGCCTTTTAAAAGTAAATAGAAAATTGTTTGATCTATAAAATTTATATTGTTTTAATTGTTTTTTTAATCACAATAGATGATGTCATGGTTTGTGATTTTTACAAAAATAGTACATATGGTGAAATAAAAACTTTTTATGGATCACATTTTTACAAATTATGTGGAAAAAAAGATATTAATTATTTTTAAGAGCTAGGTGCTACCTCTTCAGTTCGGGAAGATTTTCAGTGCGTTTCTCTATAACTCTTCTAGGCTTACACTATGCGAAACTGTGTACTTAATATCCTTGGTGAGATCATCTTGAAAGTCTTGAGTCGAGATGATCTAGACAGCAAATCAAAAGACTTAAGAGATCAGCTTTTAGACAAACTTGAGGTTTGTTTTTCTGATTTTCTATTTAGCTGATAAGTTGTACATTTGTCTGATTCTTTTTTGTTTTTTCAATTAAAATGTTGCAAATACTACACACCATAACACTAGTACAATACACTGTAAACTTTTTAAACTGAAAATGTGTTGTTTAAAAAAGTCAATTGATTACAAGCTGCTGATGTTACTGTTTTAAACAGTGGAGTGGATGATTCTAGAAATTAAAACAAATATGACATTAGAAGTATTAATTGTAACAAACTTATGATGCTTTTGTAAGTTAAACACTATTTGTATTCAGCTAATTGTCTATCGCTATAAAGTGTTGTTGAATGGTGTTTAATTGATCAGTATCTTCAATCGTAAGTCCAGTTGAAAAATTAAATTAAAAGATTAGTGTACTTTGGGTTTAACTGAAATTTTTACATTTTAAATTTTCTGTGATGAAAAAATAAGGAAATTATATAAGCCTTCAAATCTAGCACAGTTTCTGAAAAATCACAGTTTAGATGCTTATAAACATAATTTAATGATAAAACAGCTGATTCAGAAACTTAAGTTCAACACTAAGTTAATAGTGGCTAAAAGAATGTCTAAAATACATCCTTTTAAAGTTGTGAAATAATTTTTTTCATATTTTTCGTACTGCTGCAGTCAATACAAATCTTTTCATTTAGTGTGATTATATCACGTTTTTGCCAAGACTGCGGATATGACTTAAAAAAGAAAACATGCACCAAAATTTATAAAAAAAAGATAATTTTTTAAAAGTAATTATTAATTAGGTTAAATGATAATGTTTTTAGTTTGATTGTTTTCTCATCTTAGGATCACATTTACGATGTTAATGCATTTGTTCGAAGTAAGGTTCTTCAGGTTTGGCACCAGTTGTGTACTGAAAAAGCTGTCCCACTCCCTCGACAAGATAACCTCCTTCATTTGATCACAGGACGATTACATGACAAGGCCAGTAGTGTCAGAAAGTATGCTATTCAATTTTTGACAGCTTTTCTTCAAGGGAATCCTTTTGCTGCCAAGGTTTGTTGATTAAAGATGTAATATAATCATAAGAATTGCACTTTTTATGGCATCTTTAAAAATCATATAAAATAAAAAAACAAACTCCTATTGAAGGTATTACTGTGGGTGATTTAGTGCATTGTGATTCCAGCTGAATAATCTGACTACTTGTTTTATTATATATGTAGAAGCATGCTGTGTTTCATGTACATTGGATGTTACTGGACCATTACTGGTCAAGTTTTCTACACTAATGAGGCTTGGCGTACCATGGAGGTTAAGGTGTAGAACTCTCAATCTGCAGGTTGCAGAATAGAAGCCTGGTGCTGGATATTCTGGCCCTTTCAGTTGTGGAATGCTGTAATTTCACAGTCAATTCCACTATTCATTTGTAAAGTGTAGACTAATAGTTGGTGGTGATGCTGCCCTCTGGTTGTTTTCCCTGTGGTCAGGAGTTCAAAAATTTAGATGCCAGTAGATAATATTAGTAGCTTTGCTATAAAACACACAAAGAAATAAACTAGTATAATGGTTGGGTTATTTGAATTTTAACTGAATTTTATTTTTAGTTGGAGGAAATCTTGATGAGGTTAACACAGTAGTGCATTGTATTGTTAGTTGATGGACATCTTGGACATTATCTTGAAAAGGTTAACATTGTAGTGTATTTTGTTGTTAGTTGATGGACATCATCTTCACCAGGTTTACACTGTGGTGTGTTGTTAGCTGATGGACAACATCTTGACAAGGTTAACATTGTAGTGTGTTGTTAGCTGATGGACATCATCTTGACAAGGTTTACACTGTAGTGTATTGTGTTGCTAGCTGATTGACATCATTTTGACACAGTTTACACTGTTGTGTATTGTATTGTTAGCTGATGGACAACATCTTGACAAGGTTAACATTCTAGTGTGTTGTTGGCTAATGGATAACTTCTTCACAAGGTTTATACTGTAGTGTATTGTGTTGTTAGCTGATGGACATAAGCTTGACAAAGTTCACACTGTTGTGTATTATATTGCTAGCTGATGGACATCATCTTGACAAGGACAACACTGTGGTGTGTTGTTAGCTAATGGACGTCATCTTGACAAGGTTTACACTGTAGTGTATTGTGTTATTAGCTGGTGGACATCATCTTGACAAGGTTTATACTGTAGTGTATTGTGTTGTTAGCTGATGGATATCATCTTGACAAGGTTAAAACTGTAGTGTGTTGTATTGTTAGTTGGAGGATGTCTTGGACACCACCTTGACAAAGTTAGCACTGAGTGCATTGTACTGTTAGTTGGAGAATGTCTTGAACACCACCTTGACAAAGTTAGCACTGAGTGCATTGTACTGTTAGTTGGAGAATGTCTTGAACACCACCTTGACAAAGTTAGCACTGAGTGCATTGTACTGTTAGTTAGAGAATGTCTTGGACACCATCTTGACAAAGTTAGCACTGAGTGCATTGTACTGTTAGTTGGAGAATATCTTGGACACCATCTTGACAAGGTTAGCACTGTATTATATTGTTTTATAGGTTGGATGACATGTTTTGGCAAGGGGTCAGGTCTTGTTTTTTCTTCAATAAAATTATTGTTAACCTTGATTTAGACAAATTCTAAAAGCAGTTTAAACTCAAGTACTTTTGTAACAAAGTCTTGCAATGTTTAATTAATGCCTGGGTAACTAGGAATGTCTTCATTCATAAGTTGTCAAAAATGTGCAGTGATTGCAGCATTTCTTTTTGTCAGAAACCTCTTTCTCTGCACATCCACAGTCTGATAGGGACAAGTTTCAGTTTGTTTACCTTGTACAGGCCTTCAAACACTTTCTGGTTTCCTATACTTTTTAGGTCCCTCCCTATTTTTGGGGAAAGGAAAGAGTGTATGTGTTATGTTTTCAAGTCAGTCTTTTGTAACAGAAACCTTTTGAGTGAAAATCTGGCTGATACTGATGTTCCAGATTTCACTGTTTACAGATTTCTGTAAATTTTCTTGGTATTGGAAGACTTTAATATATCTATGAAGCATGTAAAACCATAACAAACCCGAACTTCTAGGTAAGTACATCATTAATTACTAAATATTATTAATTACCATCCATTTCATTAACATGTTGCCCTTTGCCTCTGATATTTTACTATTAGGGCTTGTTTTTTCCTGATATTTATTCAAATTTTTCTTTAAGTCATCCTTAAAATTACCCCTGTTTTTCCTTGATAGGCCGTTGGAAGGCTTGCATTATTCTGCAGAACTTTACTTTTTATAACAAACTATTTAAAGGTGAACAAAAACTTCAGGTATACTTTATTCAAGAAAACGTGATCTGTAATTATGTTCACATTTAGCTATCATATTTTTCAAATCCATTACTAATATTTCATGCTTTTTTTAAATTTCAAAATACATGTTTTTAAATGGAAAACAAAATAATCTTATGATTGGTTAATGTAAATCTTGTATTGTTCCAGCTTACATTGGAGGAACTACAAGCTAATTATGAGAAGGAAGCAGAGAAATTAAAGATGATGATGCCAGATGAACCTGTGGAAGAAACAGGTTTGCACATTTTTATGTCTTTACAATTTTTTGTTATGCCAACATTACTAGGTTCAGCCCTCCTAGTGATTTAGCTGTAAGCCTAAAGACTTATCATGTTAAAATAAAAAACTGGGTTTTGATACCTGTGGTGGGCATAGCACAGATAGCTCTTTGTGTAGCTTTGTATCTGAAAACATACAAACAAAACTAGGTCCAAAATTATTCGTGAAAACCACAGTAAATGGAACAAACTGTCAAAAGAAAATGTGTATGAATGTTTCCAAACTAGTTCCTCCAATATCAAGACTTCTGATAGTTTGTTTAATTTACTGTTCTTTTTCACGAACTGCTACACACAGTTGTTGTTCTTTTATTATCAAGCTAATGTAGGAGTGGTTTGACTCTTTGGCTAATAATTTAATGTAAAAAAAGGTATTTTCTTTCATGCAAATAAAAAATTTTTCGGCAGATTTGAATATACTTGTGATGAGAATGGTGTTATATTTTTGCCAATTTGTTTGTTTTCCATTTTTAAAATAAAGAAAAAAAATTAGAAATTAAGTTTTTATTTCATGTAAAGTATAGAAGCATTATGTAATAGACTTTTTAAACTTTTATTCACTTAAGTCCAACTTTATATGACAAAATTTGTGGTGTTCTAAAAAAATATTTAAAAATAAATGTTCTTTATAGTGACAGAAAAATCAGCCTAAACTGAAAAAAACAATTAAATTACAAGATTTTGATATTCTTACCAATATCAAAATATTGGTTAGTTTTTATTAATTTTATTGTTTATAAAATATATTTTGCTAAGTACTGTTTTATAGATTTGTTGAACTATCTTGTAATTCATTGGTATTAGATATTGAGTTTTTCTATTTTTTCTACACCTAATAACATTCGTATTTAATATCTTGTATACTAAAATTTATTTTTTTTTGCTCATTAACAAAGAGGGAGATTTTCCTGACAATATTTGTGCTGGATTGTTAAGATGATAACATTTGGGTGTTTTAGATAGCATAGTTAGCTTTAACTATGATTAAATGTTTAGTGTTATACCATACAATGAGGATTTCTACTGAAAGAAAGGCATACTTAATACATGTGTTAAAAGAACAACACAACATTAGTAGGTACAAAATAGGCTTGAATCACGTTATCAGGTGGAGTATATATATACACTTTTGATATATATTTAGTTTTATATCAGATGAGAGTTAAAAGTTGAAAGGTAATTTTATTCAGCCAGTTGCCAGTTTAAATTCATATTTAATGCTAAATAACAAAACCTTTTTTATAGTACATTACATGATATTATCGCTTCCACCTTCATAGGTGCCAAATTTCTTTTACATTAAAGTTCAATATCAGTCTAAGTGGCAGAACTTTAACGTTTTTAAATTATCTCTTTTAGCCTTTTAGTGTGGGATAAGAGTGAAATAATTAAACTGTATTAAAAGCAACCTAATTAAAAATATACTTGTTGTAATTCATAAATTATATTGTATGGTATATGAGCAATAGATATATTTTTTTCTCTATGAATTCAGTGCATTTTGAAATTAATGTAGTTTCCTCTAATACAAGATAAGACAGACATATAAAGTTTAACAGATAGTGTTGTTTTATTCATGCAAATTTCTGTTTTAAATTTACTTATCAGATATAGGAGGTGATTTAGATAGTAAATGGGAAGGTATGTCCCAAGACTTACTGGCAGTAATTCAAGAGACAAATGAAACGAATAATGAAGAAGATACCGATGAGGATGGAGAAACTGATGACAGTGTTTTAATATCTCAGTAAGTAACAAAAAAAAAAGGATCAACTATGGAGGAAGCTTAATTTTTATTTCAATGAATCAAAGAATATTTAATTTTTCCCGAGAAATCTTCCCTGTTTATATTTTTAGAATTGTTCTGACTGTCTCACAGTTGCCTCATTTCAGAAAAACAAAATATCAGGAACAAAATGGTCTGTTTACATAATGGTTTGACATTTCAATGTGGTATACATTTTTGAAATCACTTTTGGTGTTAACATTATGACTGTTTCAATTTGCAGTGTGTGCCACATTTGTGGTGTTGAGTTTTATGTGTAGGCTAGCTTATCAAAATGGAAATGGGAAATTATGCTTAAAGTTTAATATCATGCTCATTGAAATTAATGTTTTGTAATGAAATTCATTAAAATTTAGTATCTCGATAGGAATTTTATTACATATTAAAACTAGATTTTTTTATTGGTGTTGCATAACAGTTTATATCTGGAGATGATATTTTATTTCTGTCAACATGTTCTTACATCTGATGAGTTGTAAAATTAGTGTAAACTTTTGTTTTATCATTTCTAATTTCTATTTATAACCCATTACATCTGTAAGGGTATTTACAAAGATACGTCAGCTGCTAGATGATGGCCATTATCGAAAAGCTGTCTGTACTACTAGGCAGGCAATGAAGTTATTTCCTGACCATCAGCTGTTCCTTTCTGTCCAGTCTCAAGAATCGGAAGAACCATTAAAGTAAGTGTATTAGTAATATACTTTAATGTGAGTTAAGTATTTTAGTTTAAAAAAACGTTTTTATTAGAAGTTAATTTTTTAACATGTCACAGCAAAGCAAACCAGGTTTTTGTGAGTTTATTTTTGTTTATGATGAAAAAATGGACACTGGAAAAATTACAATAACATTTTAAAATGTAATGGAATTAATTGTATTAAGCTTATCTTCATAACTTTTACTTGCAGTGTAAACTTTATTATCTTCTCATTTTAAAATGTAATGGAGTAATTATATTAAGGTTATCTTCATAACTTTTACTTGCAGTGTAAACTTTATTATCTTCTCATTTTAAAATGTAATGGAGTAATTATATTAAGCTTATCTTCATAACTTTTACTTGCATTTTAAAATGTAATGTATTTTTGCCTTTAGAGGGAAGAAATGGTTAGACATATCTAAGATGAAGATAATAAAATTAGTATTTGTAGAAATATACACTTACAATTTGCATGGATTGGGCATGATGTAATGGATTGTTGATCTGAGAGTTAAATTTTCATTGCTGCAAAAAAACTGCGTGTCCATACTTTGGATCCAAGGGTATGCTAAGAGTGATGGTCAAATTCTGCTTTTTAATTAGAATAACCCAAGAGTTGATAGTGGATGTTGTTGCAATCTCTCCATTCTATCAATGTTAAACATTTAGGGACAACTAGTGCAGATAGCCTTTGTTTAGCTTTTTACGAATATCGAAAACAGTGCAGTTTACTTGATATATAATTTCTTCTCTTGTTAAGCAATGTTCTGTGCCCATTTACTAACAAATATACAACTGAGACTTAATTGTACGAGCGATGTTTATGGTAAGAAAACTGCCAATAAATATGTTTTAAGTGAGTTAAAAATACATATACTTTCATGTACTAAAACTATAATGTGCTTTTTTTCAAACTCTTTAATTGTTTTTTTTTATCTAAGCATAAATTGTATTTTTTGTTGGTCAGATCTACACTCTCAGATTCAAAAGAGGAAGATACCAAAGATAAAGATGTCCCAGATATTTTTAAAATTCTTCAGTCTCTGTATCTTGGTAAGTAATTTATATTTCAGTATGAAATTAAGTCATTTATTTTCTTCTTTTATCAGTCTCTTTTGAGAATATATGTGGCTTAGTGTTTAGATTCATAGTTTGCCACAAAAACACTTACTACACTTTGGGACAGCTGTGTGTGTAATGAGAGTGATGGTCAAATCCCACTTTTTTTTTAGACAAGATTAGCTCAGGAAATGATAAGTGGATGCAGTTGATAAGCAGTATTATCTCTAGTCCATGAGTACAAAATTAAGAATGATTATTTGTAGTTTGCTTCAGTAAAAATTCTAACAGATAAACAATCTCCCTCTTTCTACCTGTACCTACCTGAAATAATACTTCCAATTTGCATTTTAGCACAATTTAAAGACTGTTTAATATCAGCAGAATATTCAAAATGGATCAAGTTGTATTCTATTTAGAAACTTTTTGCTCTCCAATATTTTGTAAATAATTTGTAATACTGTTTACATAGTAAGCACCTTTAAAATATAAAATCGTATTTATAACTTTGTTATATAAAGAGTTCTTTTTTTGTAACTAAACCTTGGGGATTTTATTTTTACTGTGTATACTTTTGGTGTTTTTGTTGTTGTTGTTGTACAGAGTATGATAATTTTTCTGGTATATTGTAATGTGCTGTTAATTAATGAATGTTAATGTGCTGTTAATTAATGAAGCATTTATTTCTTAACAGATATAATTTGAATTAACAAATGATTATTTAATGTTAGACATTTAAAAAAAGATATTGTAATATCATTTTCAAATTCCTTGCAAATTTATGTTGATATATAGGTTCAGGTAACCAAAGTGACAACCAGTTGCCTCATTTGGAAATGGAAGATAAAGTAGTTTCTGAAGTTGCTATGGAAACTGAACATTCATTGGGTGACAGTGGAAACACAGAACATAATGTTGTGAATGAGGTCACCAAGCAACAAATATTAGTGCAGTATCTGAAGGTTAGTTATGGCAATAATTTCAAAGATTTGATAATTTTTTCTAACGGTGATAACTTTGTAAAGTTATAAGAGTTCTGAGGATTTAAGTATCAGTTTTACCATTTAATATTAGAATGTTAAATTTGATACTAACGATTAGTAATATAAGATTATAAATTCTTGTGTTGAATTTATTGACTTCCGTTAGAAAACCTTGAGAAAGTTATGTTTTTTTCATTTTGGAATATGTAGACTGATGAAATAAAAATACCAATTTTTAACAATGTTTAAAAGGCAAATGAATCCATTGTATTGTGTGCATGTTGGTGTATGCTGTTTTGTTTTATTGGGCATGGCCTATTAGTTTTCATACCAGGCTGAATTTGAGGGTTCATGGTTAACATTTTGTTGGCAAAAAAATGTGCTTTGCACTTTTGTGCCATGTGTGCATTACAATAGTTGTAGTCAACTTCCACTATTCAATTAGAGTTGGCTGTGGGTGCTGTTGACTAGCTGCTTTCTCTCTTAATATCGTGGTAGATTTAGTTTCACCGAGTGTTCAATGAGTAATCAGAAAGAAAATACAGAATAACTCTGACCTTAATTAAGTTTGACACAAACAAAGAGACTCAGACGCAAGTTGCACAGAGTAAAACAATCTTTATTTAAATGAAACAATTATCATTGTTAATGACAAGTGTAAAGTGTGGTTTCTTTACTGGAAACAAGAGATAGAATATTAAGTTTTAAAGTTAAGATTTACAGTTCTAATTATAATTTGCAAGTTAAAGTTGAAGATAAAATTAAGTTAACCTGAATCAAGTTGTATTCTGTTTAAACTTCTCTAAAGTAAATTAGTTATTCATTGTTGTCCCAGACTGAGAAAACATGACATTATGTACCAGGAAAAATAATGCCATTGTTTTCATGGTGGAGGTGATATCCATGTGATTGACAGTCACTCTCACTACAAAGATCACTGTAAGTTTCTATACAGTATGTTCGATGTTACAACAGTTTTTCCCATGAGGAAGTACATGTGATACCCTTGTTGATTGACCTAGTTCTGTGAGTAACTAACTAGGGTGAGACGAACTTAGTGGATGCCATGACTAACATTCTGATAAATATGTAAACATGGGAGGGTCAAAGTGCATATGTCATGACATTCAAAATTTAAACTACTATGTTATCAGTGTCGAATCAGCCAAGTTCGTGTCCCCAAATTGACCTTTATAATTTCCATACCATAACTTCTAATATGTTTTGTGTATCATCACAAAATTTTGCAAGCTTTCAGTAAGCATTAAGAGTCATTTTTAGACAAAAATCAGAATGTTTAATGAAGTATTTTAATTAAAACTTTATACATGAATATATGGAGTGAAAGTGTTGACTGCTTAAGAATGCAAAGTGATTTTCATGTTAAGATTAAAAATCTGAAAAACCTCAAATTTCATTTGCATAATCTTGAAAACTTCCTAAATAATTTCAAACCTTTTTCAGTAAAACTTTGTATCTTATCCGTTATTTTCTCTACCCTAACTCTGTATAAGTTGGTCAATTTGACTGAACTCATAACCACACAAAAAAAATTTTAAATAAATCTACATTACCCCTTTTTTTCTTTCTAGAATGACTTAAAATTGTAACATGAAACTCCATTTGTTTATCCTAAATAGCTTTGAACTATGTCTAGCTAATATTTCCACCATAAAATTTGTAAATGACTTGGCAAACATGTATTAGCTCATGTTATTCTATCGAATTATATAATGCACGGGTTACCTGCAAGTTGCTTGTGAGCATACCTCGTGAACAATTTTTATTACTATTATCCTTTATTTTACCTAATCTATCTATCATTTTAGTTACTTTTATAATAATAATAATAATAAACAAAGAATGTACATGGAAAATAAGAAATAAAATACTTAGCTGTGTCTTCTTTTTCTTCTTTTTTTTTTTGATGTTGACTGTTGATGGAACTTAACCTTCTTTTTTATACTAATGGTATTACTGCACAAAATAATTTCTATTTAATTAAGTAATGCACCAAAGAACACAAAATAATAACATGCAGAAAGCAGACAATGTCCCATAACTATCACAGTTTTTCTGGCTTTCTAACTATGTGACAAGAGTTGTTAAAAATTCATATTAGCTAGTCAGTGTGTTTCCCATGGGAATAAAGTTTGAACTGGAAGCGAAACAGATAATTCTCCATACAGAAAGCAACTTGGTATAATACATCATTTGATAGATCAGAACATTGGTTTTCTATTGGTTATGAATAATGTAGTAGTAAATGTCACAATTCTCATACTAGGGGAAATTCAGGATCTTTTTTTTTAAATATTTCCTTGCAAATTTAAAACTTATATGATGTTAAAATTTGGATTATTAGCTACATTTTTATGCCAAGTTTATTTGTATACCATGATAAAAAAGTAGTTTAATTAAATTTTGAATGTAACTGACTAAAACCTCGTGACATGCTTGGAAAAAATGTCTGTAGCAAAAGTGTGTTAAAGAAAGTAGTTCCAGAAAACTGTTAGGTGTTTCTGCTTCACTTTTTGAAGTTATTTTTTTTGTAGAAAGCTTGGTCAAATCATTCTTAAACTTCACCAAAAAGGAAAAAAATTTGAAGAAATAGGGAGAAGTTAACTAGACAGTGAACCAAATTTCAACACCAAAAATCCACATGTTAAATAATGTTATGAGGATTTATGTGTCATTATTGGTTGGATAAAGTTGGAGACTAAATGTTAGCTTTATTGTGTAACTACTTTATTATTAGTATTAGGCATAGCATGATCTCATCAATGTTGTGAAAAGCAAGTAACCAGAGAATAAATACAAAGTTGAAGTATTCATATTTGCATTTAAACTCGTATAGAACTTGGATAAATTGCGACAAACGTTTAGAAAATTTATTTTAATGTTAGTTAATTGTAGAATGTTTTTCTTATAAAGTTAGATATTTTCAGCTGCTGAAAATTGTGTTGAAAATATATATAAATTTTAATTCTGGTTTATTTTATTTTTTACTGTTTAAATACCCTGTCTTGAAAATTTTTTGTCTTTCAGGGTTTTGTTTCATACATACATCTGCATTATTTACTACACTTGTGTAATGATGCAGTTCTGAATCATTCAAGTGGTGTAAGGTAGTTTGTGTTGTTAAAAAGCGATAAGTGGTGGGTTAACCTCTTAGTTAAGTTGTTTATGTACAACAGGTCTGAGGTTTGGTCACAAGCTTGGAAATTACAAAAATGGAGTTAACACCAACTAGTATTTGCTCCACAACCTTGAGACAAGGCCTAAAGACTGGCCTTGTTTGTGAAAGGGGAAGAACCTGTAGCTTGAATTGTTAAAAAAAAAGCCTTAATAACAATAGTCAGTTGTTTAACCCTTTGAGCATATGGAAATTTTGGAGTTTTGTGACATAAGATTAAACTCACAAACACTTGGGATACAAGTGAATGCTTTATCAACCGAGCTATAGGATTAATCCACTTCAGTTACTACTTAGACACTTTTATAACACCTCTCACAACTAACATTCATCATCAGGCCTTGTCTTAGGGCCATGGAATGGTCCTACCTTAGGTGCCAGTTTTTGTGTGGTAATATCAGTTTTTGAATCTCCTGTAAAAATCAGGAGTGCTCTCACTACAAGCGAGCACTCTGCCAGCTAACAGATTAATGCATTATCAGTTGTTATTAAGGTAATTTTTAACAACTCAAACTACCACATCACAAAAAATGTATTACCTCAAGTACGTATATTGTATCATCATATTTCTAAGAGTTTTCAGTCAGGATATTCTATTGATTCATTTTGTTCGTAATGTACATATCTTAAAGCATTTAATTAGCTGCTCATTTGTTTCTATAACAATTGAACAATAAAGGTTTTTTTCTTTTACATCCTTGTATGATTGAAAGTTAACCTTGCAGATGTGTCTTTACATCAAAATTTTAATTTATATTCTTTTAAAGGACTCTGTACAATTTGCTCAGAAGATTCAAGTAGCACTGCCTGTAGTATGTCAGTTACTTGGCTCGAGGACAGTCTCTGATGTACTAGAAGCCATTGATTTTTTTGTCACAGCCTTTGAGTTTGGAGTACGGGATGCAATGTCTGGAATCCAGCGTATGCTGCTGCTAGTATGGTCGAAAGAAACTGCTGTTAAAGATGCCGTTGTTAGTGCATACAGAAGGCTTTACTTGTGTCCCGAAGGTGGAAATACCAGGTACGTTTTGGGTCTGTTAGATAATTATGACAGGTTTTGATTTTTGTTAAGTATTGAAGAATAATTCTACCACTATTATTTGAAAAAGTTTGTTTTCTTACAATTATTAAAAAATGGAAAGAGCCATGCTGTTAAAGCATAAGTAAATATCTTCTACGGAAAGAGCCGTGCTGTTAAAGCAGAAGTAAATATCTTCTACAGAAAGAGCCGTGCTGTTAAAGCAGAAGTAAATATCTTCTACGGAAAGAGCCGTGCTGTTAAAGCATAAGTAAATATCTTCTACGGAAAGAGCCGTGCTGTTAAAGCATAAGTAAATATCTTCTACAGAAGGAGCCGTGCTGTTAAAGCAGAAGTAAATATCTTCTACAGAAAGAGCCGTGCTGTTAAAGCAGAAGTAAATATCTTCTACGGAAAGAGCCGTGCTGTTAAAGCAGAAGTAAATATCTTCTACGGAAAGAGCTGTGCTGTTAAAGCAGAAGTAGATATCTTCTAATAAAGTTGTGATGTTTGTGTAAAAGCTCTCCAAGTCTTCAGTGGGAAAAATAATGAATATTTTAAGGGATCAAATAACTTAGCAATCTGTTTTAAATAACTTGCTTTTGCTTAAAAATGCATCAGTTTTAGGTAGAATGTATTTTGCAAAAGTTTTGTTTTCTAAAGTTTGGCAGTGTTAAAAAATATTTTTTCTTAGTAGTTTTAAAGATTCTTACATAATCCATTTCTTATTGCTTTTCTTTGGTTGTTATTAAAAATATATCTAATTTTTTAAATATGTTTGTCAATTTCAGCTTATTTGATGGAAATTTGTTTTTTAATCTTAGGGCTAAGGCAGTGGCTGTTGTTCAAAACCTTACGGCCTTAGTTCAAACATGTAACTTAGGTGAAAGGACTTCCCTTGAACATTTGGTATGTAAATATAATAAATACTAATTAATTTATTATCACAGCTTGTTTTAAATGAAAGGAACATAATTCATAATGTGAATTGGAGGTATTTCAGTCAAAGTATCTTGGTTAAAAAAAATTTAAGTTTTTTTAAAAAAATAAGGTCTTGATTTCTGATAAGACATCAGATAGCCATTTGTAAGCATGTTTTATATTTTCTACTTTAGCAAAACCTAAACTGTTATTCAGAAATATACACATCAGTGTAATCATTTACCTCAGTGAACCCATAATTTAAAATTTCTGTTATTGATTAGGCTTCACACACTCAGCTCATTTGCTTTATTCTTATACATTTTTGTTAAAGGCATCTCCGTTAAATATAAAAGCATCAAGTGGATTGATTAAACTTGCTTGATTTTAGGGTAGGATAACATGGAAACAGTTCTTAATATACAGTATCATAATCTATAAAATTAGTGAAGAGAGAGATGCTGTTTTAAATATCTAGTTTTGGTAACAGAGTACTGTGTTTGTAATTAAAGAGTTTTTATTTCAAACCAAACTTGAGTTTGCTGTTCGAGCTCAGTTTATTCTTTGCTTAACAATGCACAACCTGCATTTTATGTGAATTTTCAGTTTTTCTATTAAACATCAGTGTATCTGAATATGACATGTACAAGGAAGGGCTTCAAGAAATACTTCTTTCTAGTTCAAAATTCATATGCTAAGCTTGAGCAGCACTGCACTGCTAATCTGACTTTATTACCACAATCAATCTTTAGTACCAATACCTTATTTTGTTTTACAATTCTAAAGATTTATTCCCAGTATATGGAATATTTATACAATAATACATAGGTGGTCAAGTTGAAGATGTTTATTTTATATGAGTTAAAACATTTCTAATTCAGCTGGAAGAGTTCATGAAGTCTGGGGACCTGAGCTCAACGGTTATCCAGGTTCTTTGGGAACGGTTCTCTAAAAGAGGGCCTAGTGTTACTTCACACGACAGCCATGCTGCTTTAGTGTTGCTCGGAATGGCTGCTGGGTAAGTAGACATTACATTAGAAAGTTTAATAAAACAAGTATTGTAACACTGTATTTCTTTTACTTTTACTGGAAATTATGTTTTTTACAGCTGGCCCAATAATCTGAAGTGTCAGCACTAGTGTTAAACTAGAAATCATGGTGTTTGGAACTGATTCAATAATCTGGTATCCTAAGTTAATATTCTGTACTACTTGGTGTGCTTCAAATTAATTGATAGTAAGAAATACGAACAATACGTCATTTTTTATTGTTGGGGCTTTAGTAAGTATTCTTAAGAATGGTAATTTGATGACTTAATTAATCGTGAGTGTAGGTATGAAGCAAAAAATCTTGATTTTAGACATTAAAGTTGTTTATCATTATACAGTACAAAAATGGTCAACTCTTTTTACTGCCATGTGCACATAGATCCCCCCCCCCCAATCTGGTATAGTGCTACCATGAACATGAAGCCCCAAAAAATGGTGTTCCCTTTCTAACTTTCCAACATTTACCAGTTTCAAGTAATGAAATATTAAAATTTGTCTTTAAAGTATTTGAACTTAAAATGAGTGAATTGACTTAACTTTGTGAAACAAAAATCAGTGACAGTTGGGACACTTAACTATCAGTAGAATGATGCAACTTGGTTTTTTAAATATTTCGTGCAGAATTTTTATGGTTCTTTACCTTTTTTTTAAAAGAATAGTGCCTCCCTTTTTTTTTGGACTAAAATGTGTAAAATTTCTTGGCAATAACTAAAGTTGCAATTTGCGATTTTGTTTTGTACTCATGGCAAGTCTCCTGTGTTGTGATGCATTTTGGCAGACAGTGCTAAAATGCTTAATTGATGATGATATTTTTTATTTTGAAATTAACTTAGAACATTTATAAGACAACTGAGCCATCAGTAAGACTTACACAAACCTGGAGATTTTTTTTATATACTTATTATATATTTGTGAATATATAGTGTTCTGGTTACTTCATTTATAGACAGAAAATACTCAAACATTTATTTCAGTGTTGGGGTATTGGATCTGTTAATGTGTCTTAAAAAAAAACAATTTATCACTTTGTTGAATTTTGTTAAACTGAACAATCAAATTGTTTGGCACATTTTTATGAACAGTAGTTCAATTTTTAAAAGTCCGTGAGTTTTTAAATTATAATTTTAATATAATATAAATTATGCACAAAACTTCTATATAATCTGGGGATTAAACTTTTAAAGTTTCATGGATATCATTTTTCATTTGGTTTAGTCACTTTATTTTCTTGCTATAAAATAATGAATTTGGTTTATATTCCAGAGATTTCACCCACCTCTGGAACACCACTCATGGTTAGTTTTTCTCTGACAATAAGTTAACTGCTTTGTTTTCAGTCTTCAAAGTTTGCATAAACCCTTAGATCGGGTTTGTAGGTGTGGTTCTCAAAATATTTCCCATATGTGAAACAGCTCTTCTAATTGGTCATAAGTACCTATCAATATAAAATTTGGATCCCTCTGTCTAAATTAGATTACTAGTTGGCATTGAGTTTTAACAGTGATGAAGGATAGAGGCATGAAATAAAACATGAACATTTGTTTTCTGTTGGTTTCTAATTTTTACTGGTATCTTTGTCATTAACATTAGTGTTGTCTTCTACAGTGCTGAAGTTGAAATAGTGCGATCAAACATTGATATCCTAGTATCTGTGGGTCTAGATCCTGAGGCAGGGGGTGACTTTCAAATAGTGCGAGACACATGTGCCACACTGTTGAAACTGACAGGAAATACCAAGGTAATAAGACTACATTTTGTAAAACAAGGAATTACTATAGTAATAAGACTGCATTTTGTAAAACAAGGAAGTACTATAGTAATAAGACTGCATTTTGTAAAACAAGGAAGTACTAAAGTAATAAGACTGCATTTTGTAAAACAAGAAAGTACTATAGTAATAAGACTGCATTTTGTAAAACAAGGAGGTACTAAAGTAATAAGACTGCATTTTGTGAAACAAGGAAGTACTTTTGTAATTAGACTGCATTTTGTGAAACAAGGAAGTACTAAAGTAATAAGACTGCATATTGTAAAACAAGGAAGTACTATAGTAATAAGACTGCATTTTGTAAAACAAGGAAGTACAATAGTAATAAGACTGCATATTGTAAAACAAGGAAGTACAAAGTAATAAGACTGCTATTTTGTAAAACAAGGAAGTACAATAGTAATAAGACTGTATTTTGTAAAACAAGGAAGTACTAAAGTAATAAGACTGCATATTGTAAAACAAGGAAGTACTAAAGTAATAAGACTGTATTTTGTAAAACAACGAAATGTTGAATATGTCCACTAGATCATTCATTAACATATTAGGTCACTAGATGATTCATTAACATATTAGGTTTGATTTATCATAATCTTTAACTTCAACTTGTTAATAAGGTTTTCAACATTTTGACATTTTTAAGACATAACTTTGATAATAGTTGAATATTTTATGATAAGAAAAGTTATCAGTGTGTTTCAACCTCAATGTTCTTCTTTTTTATCAACAGCCAAGTGTAGAAGCCAAAAATCCTCCTTTAAAATTTCCTAAAGACCATGAAATTTTTGTCAAGTTGAGTGACATTCTTGTTCGAGGTTCGTATAAATCTTGTATTTGGCCAAAATGCTGTGTATAATCATTGGAATTTAGAAGAAAGAAGAGCACATAAAATATGTCTGTTAGAGAGACAAGATGTTTAAAATAATATCAGTTATACATTGATCTATGTTATGAAATATCATAAGGGATATAAAGAATGTACTTTTCTTTGTTATAGTAGCAAAGTAGGCTTACTTGTCTTATGGCTTATTAGTTAGTGGAGAAAGGTCACTTGAGAAGGTTCCTTTGGACACAGTTAACTAAGAATACAAAATTCAAAATTGTGGTTATCACTCAAACTTGTATTCAAGGATCATTACTCTTACTTGAAATAAAAAAGCCAAATCCATCAGAAGATCAGTATGTGTCCAAAATAAGATTAAATACATAAAAATTCAATGAAAAATTAACTGATCAATATTGTTTAATATCAAGTGAGAAAATGTCAAATTAAATCTAAAGTAATAAATAAAAGATTTACGTGAATGGTTTGAAGCTAGGCAAATGTTTATGATATGGTGTTTGAGTTTTTCCTCATTTCCTGCAGCACAAAAAGCTAGGTTACTTGTTTAGATATGCTTTAATTATCGTTAATATTGCTGTTACACATTTTAAAATTCTTATCATATGAAGTATTTGTTTTTGTAGGAGCATTATACAACCTAATGCAGTTTTTGGTTGTTTTTTTTTTATAATAAAGTAATTATGTATTGTAACCAACAGAGAACAGACAAGTTTATTGTTTGTTTGTTTCAGGATAGTCAGTCAGCAAGCTATTTCAGATAACTTCTAAAATTTCAAATGAATTTGTTAAGTTTTTAATGTGGATAAATGTGATCTGTGATTGCAAACAAAACAAACATTGATTCTTTGGCCATACACATCTGATTCAAACAAAAACAGAATTGATTTATGCTAACTGATCTTAATACTTCTCTCAAGTGAAAATATTAAACTGTGTCAGTGAAACAAGGTTACAGTTGTACAAAGATGGTAATTGTATACATATCGAATTATACATAATTAACAACAAAAAGACTTTTGTTTAAACGTGTACAATATAGGTATGGAGTAACACTGTTAAAACATCAGTTTAGTATAAAAAAACATCTTTTATTTTTAATATGAGTTACACTCTTGTTTTAGTATAAAATACAGATTTTATGTTTATTATGAGCTACATTCTTATTTTTGTGGGTCTGGTTTCTATCATACCTTTCAGTGGACTCAATTTTTAAGCTCATTACATCCAAAAACTCACTTCCAATAGGTCTGCTATTTGAGTAATAAATAGAATTAGTATAATTTTTACTGGGCCATGAGGCCTAATTTTTATAAGAAGTCTGGTAATTTTATGCTCTCACATACATTAATGAAATTACTTGTAGCATGAATACAGAAGTAAAACAAATACTAGAGATTGATTGTCATATAGAATTGATGTGATGCTACTTTATTATTAAATTAAATACAGGCATTATTGTCAAACTTCTCTTAATCAGAAAGTCTGCAGCTTTGCAAAAGCAGAAAAAAAAATCACAAACTTGATTTTATTTTCAAGAAAAAACTAATTAAAGAGAAATATTTTCAGTATAGACAGTTTAATTGATTCAAGAGTTTATTGTGTTTATTTTAATTTATGTTGCTACAGCCTACTCTGATATTATTTTATTGTAAACAGCAGCAACAATTATTTGATTCTATAAATGTGAAAGAGATTGAATTCTAGACTAAAAAATTGGAAAATATAAGCCTGTTTGGAACTTCATAGAATTTTTTGAAAAAGTTGAGGAAAGAACAAAGGTTCAAATTTTGCTCATTTTGAACTCCACTTATGTTTGGTAATGAAAGTGTTGATGAATATTTTTAGTTTTGTGTCACAAATACAACTTGTAATGTTAGAGATCATGAGTAATTTATGTTAGAACACATGTTTTATATTTTGAAAATCTTATTTTGAGACATTAAAAAAAATATTGTGGATATTTATTATTTTGTTTCATATATTTTCTGAATTTTCAAACTGAATGCAACTTAAAACTTGAGAAGTTTGTGGTATATTTTTAAACATATGCTTTAGAACATTTTGTATGTTTAATGTGGTTTCTATGGCTCATCGGTAGTGCTCTTATGGAGGTACTTTGTATTGTGTGGTTTAAACTTGTCGAAATTTTTTTTGTGATAGGAACACGTGAGATATTGTAATGTTAACAGAATATAGAGATCTTTTAATATTTTGCTGAGGTAGATTTTAAGATTAATGATGATGTATTAAAGTATCGTTATTTTGTAAACTTTCACATATATTTTTGTGATAGGTTTACTAAAATTGGATGATACGAGTTATGTTCCAATGGTTGAGCAGGCAGTAAATGCCATCTATAAACTTGGAGAACATCCTGACCTAATCTGTGGAGATATACTAAAACAACTTAACCAGGTCCTGCTAAACAATCCTGATACAGGTACTAAAGCTACTGTTTACATGATTGTTTTCTTGATGCTCTAGTTTTAATGCAGTAGTGTAAAAGCTTGTTTTCAAACAAAGCTATATTGAGCATGTAGTTTCTATTGGAAATGTTTCTGTGAATAATTTTTCTTAAAGAATTGTTCAATAGTAAAAATACTGGTGAGTGTTGGTTGTGTGAATTGCATTTATAAGATGACAAATGGCTGTGAGTATAGTACAGAGACCATTTTATAAAACAGCTCTGAAAGAATCTGGAGATGCTGGTGAGCAGACTTCAAAACTGAGACTTGAGAGTGCTGTACTGGCAAGGTTCCTATCATTCGCTGGCCATGTAGCCCTTCAGCATCTGGTTTATCTTGATGTTAGTGTTTTTACCGAAATAAAACGTAGACAGTTTGTACAAGAACAGAAGAATGAAAGTCTGATAAAGAGGAAGAAAAGACAATCAGCATCTAGTGTTTCAGAACATTCAAAACTTAAGGTGAGAATTATACATATGAAAAGTTTATCTTTTACTGTTCTATTTAATGAAAAAATGCCTTTACACAAATTGAAATAAAATAATTTATATACATCTATAATAGTTTCCTTGCAAATTACATCTTGGCTTCTTTTTAAATAATAGTTATGCAAACTTGTAGTTTTTAAGTTGTTTTGTAATATAGCTAATATATTTTTAAAATGCTGTAATTGATTTGAACTCTTAAGTATTTTACTTTTGCCTGAACATTGTGAATCGGCTACATTTCAGGTCACAACACTCCCCTGTGAACTTTCATCTTTTAATTTTTAGAGTATTAATTCTGACTGAAATGGACAAGTTTAGTATACAAATTATTGTTTATTATTATTCTTGTTTGCAACATTATGAAACTCTTGATCTATGAACGTTGAGTTTAACAAAATCTAAGCTAATGTTTTGCTTTATCTCTTTGCAGCTTCTAAGTGATTTTCATGAAACTTGATGTATGATAACTGTGGTTACATCAGACTTGATGTGTGATTACTGTGGATACATCAGACTTGGTGTATAATAACTGTGGATACATCAGACTTGATGTATGATAACTGTGGTTACATCAGACTTGATGTGTGATTACTGTGGTTACATCAGACTTGATGTATGATAACTGTGGTTACATCAGACTTGATGTATGATAACTGTGGTTACATCAAACTTGATGTATGATTACTGTGGTTACATCAGACTTGATGTGTGATTACTGTGGATACATCATACTTGATGTATGATAACTGTGGATACATAAGACTTGATGTATGATTACTGTGGTTACATCAGACTTGATGTATGATTACTGTGGTTACATCAGACTTGATGTACGATAACTGTGGTTTTGACTTTTGCTAAATTGCTTATAAATAGTACATTATTGAATCAAGTGCACATAAAGATCTTTTATCTATGAATTTTTTGTTTGGTTTATGTTTTTTAGTAACTGATGGTTCATTTAATTAAAAAACTGTTTTTATTTAATTATCTACCTCTGATGTTTTAATAAGAAAAATTAAATTTCTCTATAATTTTAATATAGTTGTAACTTAATAAACTTTAAATAATTGCAATATAGCCTTTTTGGATGTTTTTTTTCTTTTTTTTGAGTTCTAAAAGTTTTGATTGTCACAGGATCAAGCATTGTCAGGAGAGATTGAGGAAGAACTGGGGTTAACTGGAGCAGTGGCTGATGATACAGAAGCTGAATATGTTTGCCAAGTTTGTGACAAAGAAATTGTCACAGGTAGGAAGTATTAACCGTTTCTGTTTTCATTCTCTTTTTTTAAATATAAACTAAAGCCAATTTTTAGTTTTATATTATTTATCTTTTGATAAAGTTTTCACTGAGAGAGGGAGACTGTATTATGACTTTTAAAATATCTCCATGTTTCTTAATCTAGAATAACAATGTTATAACTGTGAATAACCAAGTGCTTTATTTGTATTTATTTTTGAAAGGTATAGTGAAAGAGCTGTTTTTAGAAATTTGAAACAGTATTTTTTGACTAAAGTACAATTTAAAAAAAAAATTATAACTAACGTATCTTGTCCTTGTAAATTTGTACAAGTATATATATATATACACATATATTTATATATTAACAACCTCAAAGCAATCTAGTTTAACTGTTTTACTACCAAAAAGTCTTAATAATTCACACAAGATGTTTTTCAACCAAGAGTTCTTTAATGTCACACTTCACATTGTGTAGAAACTGCATACCATAGTAAAATGCTCATTTGGTGTGATAACAGGACACACAGTTTTCTTGAAAGTTATACCCTACTTGAATATGTAAAGGATAAGAAGTCCTTTAGTTGTTTGAGGGAGTCTACAACTTTTTGATACTTCCTAAAAGCTCTGAAGGAATCTACAAGATGCTTAGTTCTTTCTCTCCAAAGACTCGTTAAAAAAAAAGTTTAAAAGTTGGTAAACTGGTCTTTATCTCCAGTAGGCTGTTAACATTTTGAAAAGATAAACTATTAATATGAATACACAGTTTGCTTCAGAAAGATTAACAAAAGTTTGGCCATGCTGGAATGTTGAACCATTCTGCCGTTGAGGGATGATAAAAACTGAAACAAAACTGTGATGTGAAATTATTAGCTTCTTAGCTCATGGGAAGATAACAAGGTAGGGTTGGTCATAGAAAATGATCTCTTTTATTTTTGTTATGTTTTAGTCACCTTTAATTGTGTGTAAAGTAGACATTTTTTTCAATTCAAAGTCCTGTTTATTTCAATTGAAAGTAGAAACTTCTAAACTGGCATGCTGCTACATTCAGACTTCTGAGTTGTGGTCAAATTAGAATCATAATGCACTACTCAGTTTTTGACTTCTCTATTTTTCAGTAATAATTCTATAGTACCAGGAATTCTTAAGGTTTTAAAACTATTAAGACCATTGTTATTATAACACTGTTAAAAACTATGATGCCAATACAACTCTATGGAACAGTATAAAGTCTCCCTGTGGGTCAGTGGTAAGTTTACAGACTTAAAGTGCTAAAATCTATGATTTGAGTCTCTGCTGTGGACAGAGAGAGAGAAGATGATAGCCCATTGTGTAGCTTTGTGCTAAAACAAATAAGAACAGTAAAATCTTAGAGGTAGGCCTACCATTCCCATATAAATCATAGTAAATATACAAGCATCTCTACATAAAAGATCAACATTTATCTAGAGATATATAGTTCTTTGTTCTTACTGTGGAAAGCATTAATGATTTCAAGTAGAAAAAGAATCATTGTTAAACAGTATTCATTTTGATTCTTTAAGTCATCTCAGTTTAATTTATTTAAAAAGCATTTGTTATTTCTTTCTACTCTAATAAACAAGTGAGTCATTAAAATACAGCATTTTCACCATTAAAATAAAATGTCAAGTTGGCTAACAGACCCATTGTATGAATTCAGCAATGATTTGACAGATTTGAACATTTAACTGAAAACTTTACATTAGAGATGAAGTGAATTAAAATATTTATTATAACACTATTATCAACAAAAGTTATCTCTTAAAATATAAATTTGAAATTATGTAAATCAATACATGTATACATTTTTATATCATAAAAAAATTATTTTATTTTCCTGAATTTAGAAATACTTTGTATTTGTTTCATGTAGTTTTCTTCTCTGTTGATTTTATTATTATTATTATTGAAGGTGATAATCTACTTGGACTCGTCAGGCCTTTGATAGTTGCAGTGTGCAGTGATCCCGTTAAATATAAAAATCCACGTCTTCGTGCTGCAGCTGCTTTAGTTTTAGCAAAGTATATGCTGATTAGGTTAGTTAATCTTATTGTTTAACAAATGTGTTTAGAGAATTTACTAATTGAAACACTAACCATATTTGTTAAGCAAGATATTTTAGTATATATAAAATCAGTAAATCAATAGAAACTTTTTATTGTAGACATCATTATACAACAGTCATAATATAAAAAAATTAAATAAAGACTTAAATCCTTTCTTCACACATATTATTAAGTTTCACTTTGTGTATCCAGTGGTTACTGTGTCAAACTGTGGAGTTTAGATTACATGCTTCATGTTCTGTTACCATTCAGAATTAAACAAAAACTTCTTACATTGGAGCCATGGGTGTATTTTAGGGGTGATGGTTAAATCTCACTATTTGTTCTGATAAAAGTTAGCTTCAGGTGCTGTTGACTAGCTGCCTTCCCTTTATTATTTTAGCTCAATTCTTGGGAAGGAGGTGATTTGTAATAATGAGTGACAAAAATTATTTTACTTTTAAACTTGTCTCATCTAACTTTTAAGGCAGTTTTATTAATCTTTTTAAATTAGATTTTCTATTGTTTTTTATTATTTTTAAACCCATCAGTTGTTTTCATTCAATAAATGTTCAGAATATATACAATGTGAAAATGTTGATATACTTTTGCTTCTTCCTGTAAAGATCTACTGTTTATTAAACTAAATACATAAGAATTTCTAACCTCAAAGAATTGAAATTATGTAATGAGACTGATATTTGGAACCTTATGAAAGTTACTAGATCTTAATTAAGAAACTACAACACAGTTATTAGGTTTTAATTGACACTAAACTTCTAGTTCAAAGTCTCAAGAAGTATCTGTACAAACATAAATTCCAGGTGATAATTTCCTATATGTTTTTATGTGTATGCCTTAGCCACTCATTTTGTGAGTCTCAGCTTCCACTGCTCTTCACTATCATGGAAAAATCTCCCGAGCCTTTGATTCGAGCCAACACTATCATTGCCCTGGGAGACTTGTCATTTCGGTTCCCTAACCTTATTGAGCCATGGACGCCTCACCTTTATAGCAGGTATTGTTGTTATTAATTGCCCACACAATGTGGAGAATAAACATTTAAATAAAGTATCAGCTGGAGAGAGTTTAGTGGTTCTAGCAATCTTTGTCTGTTAATAGCTTTGTTGCAAAGCTTTGAACTATATTTGTATTATTCATATCAGATTATTAATTTACTCCAAATAGTTAATACAAAATTAATTTGATACAGGTTTTTCAGAAATATAATTAGCAGAAAGGGTATAGTTGACATGGACAAAGTTTCAGTCTGCTTCTGTGTATGTTTGTCAGGAAGCAGATCGAGACATTGTATAATCAACAGACAGATTGTCCACTTCTACATCTTTCAATTCGATTCTGCTTATAGAGGTTTGAGCAGATTTCAGTAAAATATATTTTAAGTGAAGTGTCAGGGTTGTGAACAGTTTTGAATTATCCTTATAAAAACAATGTTCAATCTGATAGTTGTATCTTTCCTCTAAATACTTGTACGAGTAGTAATTGATTTGATATTTTGTTTTAATAGAATATAAAATACAATGCTCAGTTCTTGTTTAGTATCAAAGTTCTAAGTAACATTTATAAGATGTGTGTATACAATGCAGTCTCGGCATTTGCCTATCACATATTGGTTAAAATTTGATATCTATATGTACATGCATGTGTTTATTACAGTAAGTTAACCATATTTTGAAAGTTCAAACTTAGATTTACTTGTTAATTAAATGTACATTAATGCATTTAAAGAAAAAATACTTCCTCAGTTTTTTATTCTTAATATACAGTAATATCAAAGTTGTTTTATATTGTGCAACAGGCTGAGGGACGATTCAGTACAAGTTCGTAAGAACACCCTTATTGTTCTGACCCATTTAATTCTGAATGATATGGTGAAAGTCAAAGGTCAGATTAGCGATGTTGCTTTGTGTATTGTGGATAACAAGGAAGAAATAGCTGGACTAGCAAAACTCTTTTTCCACGAACTCAGCAGAAAGGTTAGTTTCAGGTATATCCTTTATAAAAAGCATGTTTAAATGTGATGATTAAGGTTTTTCAATCGGCATTCAAAACTTGCATTGTTTAATTTCTGTTAAAATTACATTTTCTTGACAGATATTTATAAGTGAAGCTTTTATTTTATTTTAAACAGAGGGTGATCTTTATCTTCCTTATGGATAAAGTTTTGTGAAACTTGTTGGTTAACAAATTTCAAATAGAAAAAAAGTCATTATTATCTTGGATGAATCTTATTTATGAAAATTTTTTATTTAGTTTTCACAAGAGAACTTAACACTAATCATCCAGATTTTATGTTATTGTATGATTTTGAAAATACATAAGCTGCATGATTAAATAGATATTTACAATATAGCTTAAGTTATCTATATGGTTTCAAGTGTTTAATGATGCATGATTATCTAAAAGATTATTGAGCATGGACTTCTGAGATAGGTTTGAAGTGTTTTTTTTTAAACACCTCTGATTTTGAGCCACAATGGACAAACTAAGAGGAATGTGGAAAAAAAAGGAATATTTTGCCAACTTTTAGCATTAATCTGTAATTTATGACAGGAAATTGCTTGGGAGATTATAAAAAAATATAATAATGGAAGTTTGAATTTTCACTATGAGGAATTGACTAGCATACATGTGTGTTCATACAAGACAAGAAACACTAAAGAGGTCATGCAGATAAAAACAGCCATATTTTGTATTCAGAAATTTGCTGGACTTCAATTTTCAAAATCAGTAGTATACTCATAAACGTGTAAGCATACAAGAACTTATGGAACACATCTTTTATATATATATTACAGCATCAACACGACCACAGGTTAAATATTTGAAAAAGACCAATATTTTTATTAATAAAGATTTTGTGTATCTACTTGGAAAGGTTTTGGCACATTTAGGTATTTTTTAGTTTATGAGAAAGATTAATTATAAATTTCACACTCAATCGTTATTAGTAGTAATACTTATTACCAGTGTTACAGAAGCCTTCAAGAACAACAATATATATTTCAAATATTTTGCCACAGTGCAGAATGTTTCAAAAAAATATTTGTTTCTGCTTTTGTCTATAAGAGCATTGATTATTCTAGTCACTTACAAAACAATGGTTAACCCTGTAAATAAACCATAGACTGTTTCATCAGTTTGCTCAGCATCATCAAACTCGTCTTCGAACGAAAAGCAAGGCAGGCTAATGCATTTTCCACCATATTGGAAATGCTGACTTCCTGTACTCGCTTACTTGATTCTTCTACTGAAAATAGAACATCGAGAACATGTTCTGTGCAGGTGAATTGAGCATACCCCGTAATCACAAGTTTTTTAAGATCTGGTAAAATTATTACTAATTATACATTAAATGTAAAGTGAGGATTAAAATTAACTTGTTTTGAGAAATATTGTTCTTAATGTTTCACTTTCTCATCAGGGTAATGCAATCTACAATATTTTACCTGACATTATTAGTAGACTATCAGATCCTGAATGTGGCACAAACGGGGAAGATTTCCGTACAATCTTAAGGTATGTAATTTACAAATAGAAAATCTTATAAATTATCCATAAAACTTCCAAATTTGTGACGTTTCATTTGTGTAATTTTTCTCTACAAATAATTTTTAAGCTCTTCAAGAACCACTGAGGATTACTATGGTTATCTAATCACAGTGTGTTATAATTTAAGTTTTGGGTTTGTGACACAGCCTACTGGACCTAAAGAGTGACTCAACTAAATTAATTAGCAAATGGAAATTAAGATATATTTCAATCAGTCATTAGATTTATTTTCTCCTATTCATAAAAAGCTTTTATTCCATTACCATTGAGAGAGCTTTTGACAATAGGCATAAAATAGGTATTAAAATCTAAGTGCATTTTGAATATATACTGAAATGTATGAAAGGTACACAAATAATTATCTATAAAACACAAAGTTTCTTGGAGAAAAAACTATTTCTTGAATTCTGAGCTATAGTCAAAAAGATTGCTTCATTTCCAAATGTGTTTTTCCATTGATGTCCTTGAGTAAATTGGCATTGTTTATCTTTAAAGATGAGAGCTGGAAAGCTAAAATTTAGTTTTACTGAAATTAGATGTCTTTTGCATCAAGCTAATAATGATTTTATTGATAGTGTAATTATACATATCCATATTTGTTCAATTTAATTTCGGTGTACTGATTTGATTTTGCTACACAATTCTTTCAAAATTTAATATTGTATTTAAATTTTATCTTTAGTAGGGTTCATTCGTAACAAGCAAGGTAAGGACTTGTGTCGTTTTAAACATAAAACTCTTTTATTTTAGGTTTCTCTTTTCATTTATTGAAAAAGATAAACAACTGGAGAGTCTGGTGGAAAAATTGTGTCACAGATTTCGAGCTACGAGGTATTTTATATTTTAGTTTGTTTGCAAACTTCAAATGTATCAGTTTGTACATATAGAATGGTCACAATATATATTGACATGTTAAAATAATGCAACATAAAACTTTGGTAATAGACACAAGAAATTTGACATTTGATGGATCAGCTGTAAGTTTACTTTTTTTTGTGTGCAAAAATCTGGGGTTTGATTCACCACAGTGTACACAGCAGATAGCATAAATGGCTTTATTCTAAAACAAGTTTGACATGTCTGAAAATGGTAGGTGACATGAAACCTTGGTAATAGACACAGTAGGGGTTTGAAGAAGAAATTTCTGCTGCAACCAGCAATCACTAGAAGTAGCTAATTGTAAAATATTTATTTGCAAATATTATACGACAGAATAAAACTGGGATTATGAAACCTGGCTATGTAACTGAGCTATTGCTTGTGAGACTATGCAACCATAAAATGTTGATGTTTTAAATTTACTGTTTGCTTGTACATCACTACTACAGTAAAATTGGCAAGACACAGAATGCTTTGGGGTTACAGGAAATAAAAACTTGTGTGAAGCTTTGCCAGATATATATACCAGTAAGTGGTCAGTCAGAGGATCCCTGTGGTAGCAACACATATACTAGTGAAGTCTGAATTTTGTTTACAAAATAACCAAGCATTCTTCCAGAAGTTTATAATTGTCCATTATTCACAATATGTTAATTTTTGACAGTGTCAAACCAGTTAAATTGTATTTGAAATTGTTTTGTATGTTTTTCATCATCTGTGTAAGCCTACACAATACCCTCCTTATAAAATATTTTATATCCTCTACCTTGAGGACTTGATACTCTTCCACTATATCATACATAATTGTTTTATTTTGTAATTTGAATACCTGATGGGTCATTTTACTGTTGAGAGTAAGATTACCACAGAAAAACAGATTATTTAACTATGATTGTGAATTACTGATAACAAATTATAATCATTTATTTACATTTACTTTTTCAAATTATGTAATTTTTGTAGTTTTCTTCGTGAAAGTATATGTTAATTTTAAACATGATCTTTTGCATGTTTGTTTAAAAGAAGAAAAAAAGTATACAAATGTTGGATTATGTCTACAATGTATTTGTATGAACAACATGCAAGTATACGAAGAGTGTGTTGGTTCTATGAAAAAAACTTAGAATGAAAATTACCTGTTAACTTTATCTCATTAGGACTGATCGACAGAATCAGGACCTTGCTTTTTGTCTAAGCCTACTACCATACAGTGAGAGAAGTATACGTAAACTGCAAGAAAACTTAACCTGTTTTGCTGATAAACTGAATGATAATGCTGTGTATGAAAGTTTTGTGTGTATCATGACTGCAACGAAAAAAGGAATTAATCTCAAACCAGAGGTTAAGGTGAGTAGTAATTTTGCATTGATTTTTTTACTTTTTTTTTTTGTTATTCTTGACTTCTGTAGCTGTTAGCTTCAGAAAATTAATTTCTCTTGCATAATAGTTTCAAAAGGTAGTGCATCCACCAAACATGCTAATACTTATTAACTGTGGGTGTAGAACTCGTTTATTTTTTTTTATAGAATCTATAATGTTGATGAGATGATGAGTTTTAATAGTATTTAGCTGAGAGTGAAACAACTGATGTTCCATTGAGTTTTTCTTACAATAGAATTCAAAGATTAGTACTTTAAAAAATGGTAATACTTATGATTTTGTGTAGTTAATTCTAGAGGAACTAGAACAGATGATTGAGGAATGCCACTTGAAAGGAGTGAGTGAGGATCAACTTGTTGAAAAAGCACAGAAAGCCTCTGTCTCAGCCTATCCAGGATTAAAAGGATGCAAAACACCGCATGGTAAGGCTAAAGTTAACAGAACTTTAAAACAAACACTCAAAAGTAAATCTGACAGCAAATTATAAAAGTATTCTGTACATTTTGTTTAATTTTAATGTTTGACATTGATAAAATGCCTTTCTCAAAAAATGTTTGAAAAATTTAATTGATGCACAGTTCCCAGTTTTGCTTCTAAGATGCGTACTTTGCACATTTAAGCTATTTTGATTGATATTGGAACAAAATAATCATTTGTCAGTGTACTAATTCATGGAAAAAAAAAATGGAAGTATTCATTTTAATTTTTTGTTTGTGCCTGCCCTTTGAAATATATTATGAATGCCTTTGAAATGATAGATTCAAATTGTAACCAGACAATTTCAAACAGTAATTAGCTCATTTGGATATGCAAAGGAATGGGATTGGCTGTGTTATGACATCATTTGGTTTTGTGGGAGATTTTCTTGACATTATGGGATATCGATTATTGCAGAAAAAACGAAAGGTACAAGGACGTTCATAAAGCAGTTAATTTTCAAAAAAATTACTACATTTTCCCCATGAAAATGATGCAAAAATAGAAATAAATAGAGGGAAAATGTGCAGAGAAGACGTAATGCGTAGATATTTTCAGTACTTACTCAAGTTGCAATGATTCAATTTTCTATTTCTTCAAATAAAAATTACTTGATCATGTTATGCTTTTATGACTTACACTGATTCCTAAGCTCGAACTGCTAAGATTTGGCGTCAGTGAGTTACAGTTATCAGCAGTCTTTTTCCATCTTTTGTTGTGGATATGTATATGACCAGTTTGATCTTGGTATTAAGTTTTTTAATAAAATTTGGTAGAAGTATATATTGTATAAATGTATTTAGTTTTTAGTTACAGAATAAACTATATTTGTATTAAAGAAGTGGCAAAAAAATCTTGCAATTATTAATAAAATAAATAAATACATACTATAGGAAAAAAAAAAAAAGAGTATGTATGAGATAAGCTTATGAGATTGGGAGGGGGGGGGATAGAATAAAATTACATGTATATTTGGGATTGATCATCCAGTAAGCTCAGGAATGCAAGTATTTTAAATAGTTGTTGGCCCAATTGACTTGCCATGAAGTCCACAATAGATTTATCTCTTAAATTTTTGAAATGAAATATGTATAAACATATACTTGCATATGTACAATTTTTTTTAGGAAAAAGGAAGGGCAAAACTTTGAAAAAAATCTCAAAGAAAAAAAAAATATAACAGCAGTTCCGAAGAAAGTGAACCTGACGAAGATATTCCAATAACACGCACACGTAGAACAGCCAAGAAGGCTGCTGGTGCTATTAGCAATGAAGAGAACAGGGGTAGAATAAACCACCCACAACGGAGGAATTGTAGAAAACCTCCAGTGTTAGAATTTAGTTCAGACAGTGCCGAAGAAAACAGTAACTGATCAGGTTTGTAAAGTACAATATAATTTACTAACATTGTTATAAAAATATATATCAATATTGTTTGATTATTCTGCAAGAAATGAAAAATGTTATGAATGCCAGTGGGATTAGGGTAGAAGGTTTTTATACTAATATTACAGATTTGATCCAGTTTCAAGCTGTATCTATAAAAATAGAGAGGAAACTAAGAAAACATTACAATCGATGTGAAATTTCAAATTTTCACTTCGTAGCCAGTAAATTTAACTCCTTAAATCCGAGTGGACACTTCCAGAATCACCAAAAATTCCAATTTAACCTTCAGTTGATGACAGCATCCAATAACACTTGTGTGTCTTTGGATAAAAACTAATCCAAACTATGTTATTATAAGGTATGGTGAAAATAAATGGTATTAAAGAATTAAGTTTTCTTAAGCAAGTGAGTGATAACGAAATGTCTTGTACTGGATTTCTTATTATTAGTAAATTTTGTAATAATGCAAGCTTTTTTGTTACATGTTGTAAACTTATATAAACCAATCCTTATATTGGTTTTAGAGATTCTCAACAATTTCTGAATGTGATCGTACTTGCTGCCTTGTCCTTATAAACATTCATATTTTTACTTACCAAGATATTCAGCAGTTGAGTATGTTATATCAAAATGTTGTTATGTTACATACTGAGGGCTTTTGGCATTCATCTGTTAAATCTGGTTCATTTGTTTTCCAGTGCTATTAATTAATTTATAATTAATTGCTATTAACTTGTAATATTACCCAATAACCTGCTAAATTTTGTACAGACGTGAATACATTATCAAAAATCTTAGTATAATTACTTTTGTGGTTAAGAGCTGGGTGGATCCCACCTGGCCCATAATGGAAGGGTTAACTGATAAGATAAATGAAGTAGAAATATAGTAGTGTTAGTATCAAAATGGAAAAAAATTTGGTTAACTAAACTGTGGACCTACAGCATTCAATATGCCAATCACATGATCACTCCAGCCAGTATAAAGTCATTTTTCAGAAGTGCCAGCAAAAATTGATAGATTTTAGAAAGGATCACAGGTTTATAATTTTTTTAAATTGAATATTAAGATTTTCTTGTAACATTTTTTCTTTCAAAATGTTGACTATCCAACATGCAAAGTAATTTTGATTTTAAGGTTAAAAATACTTTTATGCATCAGAACATTTTCAAGTTTCGCATGCAAAATCTTTATAACCTCCAACCCAACCTCATAACCATTTTGTGCTTGCTATAACCTTTAAATTAGTAAGCGTATATGTTTATGAAATTTGGCAGATTATGAGTAAACATTAAAAGGCTTTCAAACTGCTGCATTAAACATATCACGTGACACACAAAAATCAATGTTTATCTGTTTTTTAATATTTGCTTTTAAATTAAGAAATTAACTAACTTATAATACTACAATTTGATACCAAACTTATTGATATACATTCATAAAATAGTAGTACAATAAGATTTTGAATGAGTCAACAAATGTGATATGACATAGCCTTTGACCCATAGCGATAGGGTTAATCTAGGCATAAGGTGGTAGAACTGAAACCTGGGTTTCTGGATTGGACTTGAAATACAGATTAGAGGAAAGCCTAGTGTTTCAAGGTTATTTCTTTTTATTTAGGGTGAGTGAAGACCAAAAAAAGTTATGGTAGAGACATGTGTTAAGTTCTTTTTCTACTTAAGAAATATTCAGTTATGTCCTGTTGATGTTTAATGGTCATAAATAATAACACCATATTTGATGTTTGTTTTTAATTAGGGAAAGAGCTCACAGACACTACTTGTTCAAGCAACACAAATCGCCAGCAGTTTGTTTGTTCTTTAATAAAAAGTTACACTAGCTTCACATGTTCAGGACTGGAAACTTTCATCTTTAACAGATGTTGGTTTTGACTGTTACCAAAATTTCTGTCCTGCTTGTCTACTTGAAATTAAATCCTGTAAACAGTTTTATATTTTACAGAAATAAATGTTAATTTAGATATCAGCAGCAAGTACAAGTATTATTATGGTTATGACACAACTTGTTTATTAATATCTTTTGTTAACATTTAAATTATCTTCAGATTGAAGAAAGGTGGAAGAGAAAAACTGAGATGTAGTAGTAAGGTTCGCAGTCACAATACAGCCTTTATTAATGTGCCATTTAGAATACATTGTCCACCAAGGAATGAGAGCTCTATTCTAATTTAACCAGTAAAACATGTGTACTGTAATATTTTCAACTTTAAAACTACTCTAATTATGAGGTTTTCCAAGACATAGGAGTACCTAAAAATGCAAAGTATTGAAAAGGTAGATTGAGAGATAGTAGCTTAAACTGGGTGCCGGAAGTTCTTGCCAGCATACTTTGCTTTGGGACCAAGCTCTTCCTCAATTCTCAAGATCTGGTTGTATTTAGCAAGTCGCTCAGATCGACAAGGAGCCCCTGTTTTGATCTGACCTGTGCACAGTCCAACCACCAGGTCAGCAATGGTTGTATCTTCAGTTTCACCACTACGATGACTCACCATTGTTCCCCAGTTGTTTGATTTAGCTAGCTGATGCCTGGAAAGAATAATATTTTGATGTATTAGTAACTTCTTTATACCTGCAAATGATTTAAATTTCTGTCTAATGTTCATAACATTTATTACAAACATGTTTTAAGGATTGAGATAAGGTACTAGTATTTACTTATAATTTATTCAGCAATGCAACTGTAAAAGGGTGGGAAATTAATGTGAATTTTTAAGATTGATATTCCTGGAATGTATGTTAGTAGGTTATATTTTCAACCTGGTTCCAAGCCATTTGTCGAGTCAGCATCATTTCGTTTTAAATAACAGTGAAAAAAAAGACTCCAGGACCTATGGCTAATGTTCTAACAATAGATCTACCCAAGCAGTTTCCATCAATATTCACATTATACGGCTTCCCACCAAGAGTATGAACACCATAATGCATTGATGAAAAATCAAAGAAGTCTATTGCAAATATTTTTACATATTAAATTGTAACCATTTTAAGATATCCTTATGAAATTTAATAGTTATTTGGTTAATGATTAACTAATATTATGAAGCTTAATTATTGTTTAATGGTGTAAAAGAATAAAGGTATGTCTGTTTTTACTTTTAAATTGTGTCTGACAACCTACTGTTTTTTAAAGAACCAAAGCCATTAAATATTGGTATAGAAGATAAAGTCAACTCTCCGACTTATCCCTTTCCAGAGTGATGTGGAGTCACACAGTGGAAGTACTTAGCCAAAATGGTTGAAACAAAGAATAAACTCAATGACTAGTATCTTTTTTTTTTGTGAAAGCCGAAACTAAAGATTTACTTTGACTGATATTTCCTATCTTTCATTTTTAAATACATTAAAATTACTTCCTTTCATTATATAATTTTATTTACAAAAGGTGTAGTAGTGAATTTATAGAACCTGACCTTTATATTTAACAAGTTTAGTTTTATTTATATGCAGTGTTTGAATATAAATTGAAATATTAAAAACTTAAGAACCAAATGGCTGGAGATGGCTTGAATGGGTAATGAAGAAAAACTTTAATATAGGTTTAACATAACAGCAAATGTACAACGTTTCGTCATCATCAGTTACCGAATTTCAACTCAGAATATTTTTACATTGTTAACTTTCAAACAAGTAATTTAAAGAATAAAAAAAAGAAAAATTCCCATAAGATTCTATTCTTTGCAGGAGCTACACCTAATCATTTTTTTTCTTCCAAGTACAAAATAAAGAGCAAATGCTTCAATCATCCTGCTCTACTTACGCCTTAATGGCTTCAGTTACACTTCCAATCTGGTTGACTTTTAACAGGAGACAGTTGCAAGATTTCTTTTCCACTGCCATTTGGATTCTCTTGGGGTTTGTTACTGTCAGATCATCACTAAAGGAGAAAAAAAAAGTTACACGTTACTAGTAATACTGCTAGTAGTAGTGGTAGCACACATTGTCAACAATAAAAAGCAGAATCATGTTGCCAAGACATCTTCATGTTTAAAAGGAATATCACAACTATATGCATCACAAAATGCCAAAGTTTAGTTGTGTACCACTAATATGGATAACATCGTCACACTGAATCCATCCCAATAAACTTTTTTTAATGAATAAGATACTTAAACAAAATTCAATTTGGCTGGGGAATTAACTAACAGAACTAAAGGCTAAACTGCTGATGTTGAAAATTAACCGTTTTTACAATTTTGTAACTTTTCTTAAGGCTAATGAATTCTTAACATGTGCAATTGCTTTCCAAAAATAAAGACACAACCATACCCAACAACTTGAATCTGTACAGCTGCCTGGAAAGAAGTCCAAGCATCCCAGTGATCTTGGTCAAATGGATCTTCAATAGTTACAATAGGGTAGTCTCTAATGAATTCTTGATACATGGCAGCAAGTGCATCAGGTGTGAGCCACTGAGAAGAGTCCGAATTGGGATTCTTGAAGTCCAAATCATACTTTCCCTCTTTATGGAACTCTGAAGCAGCCACATCCATGCCAATTTCAATTTTACCAACATAACCAGCTATTTGGATAGCTTCTTTTATAAGTTCCAGGGCCTCCTTGTTGCTCTGGATGTCAGGAGCAAAACCTCCCTCATCTCCGACAGCAGTGGCCTGAAGACCAAACCTGGAAAAATAAAATTAACAAGTAAGGATTCTAACAGTCTAAAATTATTTAGTCAAAATTAAAGGGTACAGGCAACTGTTAAATGACATTTCAGTGCTACTTCAGGAAGAAAGACAGTCTGAAGTAGCTATAGACTGGAATTTAATTGGTAGGGTAGAAATCATAATTCACCCTTTCATAACAGATTGCGTGTTGTGTGCTGTACCAGGTATTTAGTTTCAAACAATATTAAGAATACATACAAGTATTAATCTAGTCAGAAAGACGATTTTTTAAAATTATTTTAAATATACATCAAATTTAATATAAACCTATTCTTAAACATCCAAGCACTTGGTCAGTTATTTTACATGAGCTTGAAATTCATGTTTTAGAACTTTGTAAATTTTCAGAATTCTAGTAGCTTCATGAAACTTAAGGTTTTTAGTAAACATTTCAAAATTTTTTAGTAGAGGAATTATATTAAAATTTCTGTGAATTTCTAAAGCCTTTACAGAGTCAATTTACATTAGTTTTGATATATTATTTGCATAACCTCCTCTATGAATATTTTTTTTTAAATAAAAAAGTATACCTTATCCATTATGTTTGTTCTCCATGCTACTACCAACTGTAGCTCAATCAATTATATATATGAAATAACATGAATACATTTTATTTAAATGATTTATTCATTGTCATATTTTCAATTTCTTTAACGGCCATTGAAGGCTTAAAGTTTAAAATAAGCTCTTTCCATTGGTTATAAACGTGTGCACGTGTTTTTGAAAATTGCTTAAAAGTTAAGAATAGGGGGTGGCTTCCGATTTCTCACTAGAGAAATAAGCTTGTACATTTAAGCTTGGAATTGTTCACATATTGCATCTAGGATAAATCAGATACTGTAGTTGCTATAATACTGAAGTTATAGACACTGAAAAGAAGAGACTTTAGGCATGTGATACAGAAGTAAAGATTGAGAACTTTAACATTCACATTCTTTTGAAACTAATTAGTAAATTACTTGAATTATAAACTACACTGACACTCAGTATGTATGTATTTATTAGAGCAATACCCCCCTTTAAAGGATTGACTGGAATCCTTTGTTCATTCAAAGTTTAAAATTATTAGGTTGATACATTACAATATGAATCAAAGGTTACATTGTATGTTAACTTGTCTCACAAATAAGCAAGGTTTGTTATATCCATACTTCATCTTATTCTAAATGCACCAGGACACTAGTTTAATTTCAATATTTTTCAGTTAAACTGGTCACATAAAATGTTTTCACCTTGATACAATACGTTGCACTTCCCGAGAAGTAGCTTCGTATTTCTGCAGTAGTACCGGAAATTAGGATGCATAGCAAATATGGAAACTGTACAACCATATTTCATGGAACATGGGAATATTTCAGTTACGTTTCACCATGCACCGTTAACAAATGCCTTGTATACTATTACTTCATATGTGCACAAAATTAATAACTTGCCTCTTCTTGATGACATTTTTCAAATGATGATACACCTCACTACCCATCTTCATGGCCTCCGTGAAGGAGCTAGCTCCAGTTGGCAGGATCATAAACTCCTGCATAGCTAGCTTGTTACCAGCATGACTTCCCCCATTGATTACGTTAAAAGCAGGGACTGGCAAGATCACATCTCCATAACCAGCCAAGTCAGCAATGTGACGGTACAGGGGAACACCCTGCAAAATAATTAACATAACAGCAGCGTAAAAATCCCATTCAATTACAAATTAAAGAGTCTGTCAATTAATTAGGTAAAAAATTTAATAGAGCAGTATCATAAAAATGTAACAATTATTAATACAAACTGAAAAGTTTGATTATCTAACTACAAATAGAACTATATGTCAACTAGACAGTGATGCAAAGCTTTTTGTAAAGTGCTATAAAAGCTAAGTAGGATGTAGTAAATCGTGTTTTAACATATGTATAAGAATTAGTGTTAATAATGGTCCACTTTTAGCAAAGATTTTTAACAAGGTCACTTCTGAATATATAAAGTTTCTTAAATTTGAACTTAAATTCTCCAGCCAGAATCCTACTTTAACTAAATAATATTAATGTAAAAAAAAATATCAAGTTTTAAAAGTAACTCTTTACTGGCAGGTGTTTATAAGGTATACTGATTTTAATAATAGTTTAATACAAATAACAAGCATTGTAGTAATATGAACTGATGAAAGACACATCACAACTTGCTAACTATAAAATTAAGTCACTTTTGTGAGCAAGTTGATACTAATTCAACTGACACTGGTAAAAGATTGTTACCTTTTGTGCTGCTCCAGCTTTACAAACAGCCAAGGATACTCCCAAAATAGAATTAGCTCCAAGTTTAGCTATACCAAGGACACGAGAGACATTAGCCTATTTATAGACACAAAAATCCTATCTCAACTGTACTTTTTTTCCCCAACATGCAAATTCCCCCTAAACAAATGATAGAGTCAAGGTTATGGTTCTAGGAGAAAATATATAGAATATTATTTCTTTTGTATATAATTTGACTAAATTAAATATAAATAAGATATCACGTAATTTTTTTTACTGTGAAACTGTGTTGGTAAAATTTAATCATTATTGTGTATATATAT